AAGCTTGAGCCAAAATTTGCAGTTCCTTAACCTCAGAACACGAACTATAGTCATGCCACTGCAGGTAAATCAGACCAACAACTATCGGAATATACTCTGAGGTCAAAAAACGTTAAAACATTTTAATTTCTAAAATCATGATGTTGCAAAGCTTGATTAAGAAATGAGGTGTGACGATCGTATGCTGCATCACATGTAGATTGGGTAAACTTCAATCCATGTACCCGTATCGGTAAACTATGTGACACACCACGTACAGCTTCAGTGTTTCTGCATAATATGTGATATTCCTCTGAATGAAAATCTCGAATGTGACGCAAACGGTACATTATTTCTGAAATAAATTAAAAGTGATACCAAAAAAAGTGCCTCCGAAATCCTCAGTATGGTCAGGGGTGGGTGTCTAGGGTTGCGGCTGATCACTCTTCCCTTGCACCTCGCGGAAGCTCCCATATGACCAAGCGTCTCAAATAGCCTCTGCTTAGGAAGCATTACTCACTGCTCTCTCCTGGCGGAGGCGATTTCCCACCAAAGTGAGAGGACAAAAAGCTGACCTCCGGGGCTATAACCGGGTTGGTGGACTACTGGTAGTTCGCAAAGGGGAGTTGGCCAAAAACCCTGATTTCAAAACAATCAAAAGGAGGCGTACGAATCACACCACTTCCTGGCTGTGGCAGTGGTCACCGGCTCGATTGGGCATCGAGGTGTGTTGGGCACCTTGGACGTTTGACCCCGTCCGAAAGGCGCATGATCCGATGATCTGGACACCGGCACTCAATGGACTGCGGTTCTCACACACCGCCCCGCTGACTTGCAGGTCAGGCTTTGGGTAACCAAAGGCTCCGGTTGTGGATTCCTGAAGAAAATTCACGTACCTTGGCCTGGGCAACCTGGCAGTATTCAGCCCACAAGCCAATCATAGAACATTTCATTTTTCTAAAGATTATTGTGCCATGATTTTCTTGGCACACAGTCTATCCTCAGACAAGCGTGAAATATAAATAAAATATAATTTAGGTCTTATGTACGGTATCAGCACCTTTTTATTACACACCTTAGTGTGATGAACAGCAGATCGGGGGGTAAACCCCATAGTCATGAGGAACTGCTGTTAAGTGATGGAAACTGCTAACCTAAGCCTGGCGGGACTTGGCGTGGCGAACCAAATAAGGCTGTGTTAGATTGGACGTGGTAACGGACCGGACAGCAAAGCTACCTACCATTGAATGACCAAGCAATCTGTCCCCATGGTCGCAAGGTTTGCTCAACCACAGAGAGAGAAAGGCATACGCAACAGAGAATGGGCATGTGTAAGTAATGATTAGTTTGCCGGATCGGCTTCCAGTTTCAGTGGATCAGCGTCAGGCATAACTGCTAGCATCCATCGACGACGAGCGCGCATAGCAGTCTATTCATAAAATTGTTTTCAATCATGCTGTCTATTCAGAAACTAATGGTTTGTCTGTCTGTGTGTGTCCGCTTCTGAAACGTTTTTATTGGTGACCCGCACACACTCATAATTCCATCTAGTCATCGAGTTTTTATAGTGTTCTCTCTCACCCCAGTGGTTGAGATTGCACACAACAGAACACGTAAAAAAAACAATCCGAAACACCGGCTATCTAGATGGTGTCTAAACTATGAGTAAAACCTAGCCTGAACAACGCTCGAAATGGAACTGATTTAATTTTATGATAATTATAAGTATGAAAAGAATAAAAGGCTCACCTTAAAATACAAATAAAATGATGATCGTTTGCTTCAAAAGCGCTCACAAGCCAAAATAATGTGGTTCGTTTGAAAAGATAAAAAACAATCATTCAAAACCAAAAGAAACGGAGGTAGGAATAATGGAAGTCTACGGTCAGTTTAGTTAGTCCAATCATTAACAATGCAAATTCGTGCGCCGGTTTTGCTGTCTTTTGGATGCCCATTTGGAGAGCAAATAAAAGAAAAGACAGCGAATTGCAAGAATAATGAATAGATGCACGAGCACCACTGTTTGCGACACCCAGCCATATCATTACATGCCTCCAACCACCGGTTACCGTGGTCTCGGGCTCCCCGTTCAGGGAGCCTAACGGGACCTATGTGACCCAGTGTCACCATCATCATCATCGTACAGCGAACTTCACCCGGTGCCCTGGTTAGGATTTGCATACCCTTATGCTAGATCTTAGTTTGATCGCCCTTTACTTTTTCCATCCACTACCTGCCTCAGCAGACAACATTCGCTAAGGTAACCTATCTGGTAACATGCGCAGTACATGTCGAAAATAGCATAATCTATGGAGGTCGACTACCTTCCCCCATGGGCTACCGCGATTACCTAAAACTCTACGTCTAACCTCAGTATTGCTTGTCCGGTTGCCCACCAGACTCGTGCAATGCAACGTAGACAGCAGTGTTCGAACACCGATATTTTTTAAGCCCGCCGTCGTGATGGCCAAGTCCCTGCACTGTAAATCAGAACTGGTCGAACTGCTGTAGACAGACATTTGGATGTCGCGATGGAATCACAGTTGTCTGAAATTGGAAAATGCCAACCGGGCTTTTCGTATGCATGCCAACATTTCATCTGTGACGCGTCCGACAGGTGAGATGTCGCTGCCCAGATAGCAAAATTTATTTACGTTCTCTATTACTACCCCGGTCAGGGTGAGGTTGCGGCCTGGACCAACCCAATCTTATAGCAATATTTTACACTTCGAAGGTGCAAAACGCATATCAAACATAGATACACTAGCATTCAAACTGTCCCGAAAAGCTTGCAACCTAACTGGATCTTCGCTTAGCTGCACAATATTGTCTTTATACTCCAGACGACCTCATCCCAAATGTGGATGTAATAGATGAAATAGATAAATTTTGCTATCTAGGCAGCTATATCTCTGCTGGTGGGCGCGTCACGCGTCAAGTCTACGGTCAGTGAAGTTGCAGACCGGCGCATGCGTCTTCTACTAGTGGATAGAAAAAGGCCACTAAGGCGAACAGATTTAAACATTGCTTTAGCGAAAAACGAATGGTGGACGATTGGTGACGAGACTCGAGGAAGTGAAAGATTTTGGTTAGTAAGAGAACTGTGCAACAACAATCAGTCACAAATGAACACTGAAACTATCATCATGGATGCGAATCTGCATCTCCCCAATTCCACTGAAGTTTTCAAGAGCTAGATAGATGCAAAAGAGCCAAATAGTTCTCACTTAGTAGTCACTAAAAAGTGCGTGAAAGAGAAGGCGTATTAAACATTCTCGGCTGGAAACATCGCTAAATCTAATCTATGGACCAACGATATCAAGGCAGATTTCATTCATTGTTTCCCATATGAGAACCTTTCAAACGAAAAAAACAAACAGAGAAACTGCCCTCGAATGGGACTCTTACAGCAGCTTGAATAGCCAGAAAACTTGCAACAAAAATGCTGATTTTTTTAGTGTTGCCGGTTTAAAAGTTTATTACCACACCCGTTACTTTATTCATAATTAAAATAAGAAAAATTATCATCATTGATATGTTCACTTCAAAAAAAGAAATAAAAAACATACCGTATGAATCGAAACAGCATCACAGCCAGGAAAATCAGTTGTAATGCGAGCAGAACCAGATGAAAGCGACGATCAAGGAACACGTGCTCGGGAACAATACGCCAATTCACTGTCCATTTGTACATGAACTGACGGCCGAAATTAAACGCACGTGTCACATAAGCCTCCGGATTGTGAAACAAAAACGGGGCTCCGAGGATAAGCTAGGTTAAAAGATGAGAGAGAGAGAGAGAGAGAGAGAGAGAGTAAGTGTGTGTGTGTGTATGTGTGTAAACACACATGAATTTACAACTCGAAAAGAAGCTACCTGATGTTATGATTCCATAAACATACAGTCACAAGCTGATATCGTGAATTTAGCAAGAGAAATGAATGCTAGAGAAGGCAGGCGAGCGAGGCACATCTGGGAGATCCTTTCAAACTAGATTCCCGTCGCTCCGAAAACGGGGAACGGTTTTTGGCTTTATGTTTCGATCACCGTCTGTTCCTCGCTCGTGTGAATATCAGATGATCCAACTGTCGGTAAGCCACTTGGCGTTCATCCTCCTCGAGTAGACGACGAACGAAAACCAACTAAATGGCTATAAGCTACAAATGGCGGGGTTGTATATAAGACTGACGATCATAATACTGAAGCAACGTCCTTGAATCCGACTAGGCATTAGTTTGCGCCAATTTGGCCATGAGCTTCGATGGGAGTTCCAAGCGTACAACACACCGACAGTTAGACTGTGACACTGCTGTTTCAATCAGTTGACCTAATTGTCTTTCAAAACGCACTAGCTGAAAAGCTAAAATCAATCCCACCTGATGACACTAATCAGAACTGGCCACTTATCAAGTATGCTATGCGTTCGACTGGCCAAGTTGCTTGTGGTTTGAAAGCCTGGGTTTCTACGGACTCTACGCTTTTTGACGCACGCCGATCAACCCTGACCGGCAGCGAATACAACGAAACACGACTCATAACGAGACGTAACTTCAATGAAAGCCTCCGGGGAGACCGCGAAGTTTGGTGGACTCAAGGTGCAGCGTAAATGGAATGTACCGCCGCCGTGGGAAATTTCCGTAAGCTGCCGTATCTCATCCGGGTAACCCATGGGATAGCTTTGAGTGTGAGCAAAACGATCTGTGAAGCTATCGGCTCGCCTATTCATGACCAACAGCGACGTCTTACACTTTAAGCAGAGCACTTTGAGGGAAGTTTGGCTTTCCACCAGCGTCAGCTTTGAACACAGCTATTGCGGCATGTGGCCCATGGTCTGTCTCAACAGACCCAACTTTTGAGGCGGAAGTCCGTAAGGAGATCTAAACCTTGGGAAGTCATTAAGCGGCGGGCTCCGATGCCCCCCCCCCCCTCTAGCTCTATTGAAAGATGACAGAATAAAGCTTGTTAGAGAATTGATGGCTCTGTTCTCTAAAGTTTAGAACACTGATCAGATACCCCTATCTTAGGAGGGGGTTGTGTTGTCTCCATCTTTAGAAATAGTCTATGCAAGGACTGTAACAATCACAGGCGTATAAGCCTAATCACAGCAGCATCAAAGCTGTTGGCATCCGTTATTGCCTCGAAGATTTTAAAATGTGTGAACGGCAGGCCCGCGAGGAGCAGGCTGGATTTGGTGTCGGTTGTGGATGCATTGATTAACTCGTTCCGCTCTGACAGCTGCTGAAGTACCGTAGCGCTTACCACAGACCGACGACCACTGTGCTCCTAGACAATCGTGTGACCTTTTACTCTGTCGATAGGAACATTATGATGAAACTGTTTGCTGAGGAACGGAGTACCTGAGAAATGTCGAGGTGTATCGTTATGCATCAGGGCCTATGATTAGCTTTGTCACCCTTTGCAGTCTTCAGTTCGGCAAGGCTGCCCTATATCCCTATTCCTCTTCAACTTTACCATAGAGGATGTCCTACAGATTGGTTCATCCGGTGTGGCAAACCGTGGAGTTGAATCCTTCTCAGGAAACAGAGTTATTGACTTGTAGTATGCCGATGACATCACCTTTCTGATTGACGATACACAGGCGATCCGACAGGCTTTGAACCGCTTGGCGATCGAGGTATCCAAGTTTATATGCAAAGTGCTTTTTCAAGACTGGTAGGAGCCTGTGTCTGTACCCGCCCTCAATGATGATCAGTTGGACCTGACTGACAGCTAGAGCAGCTTTGCTAACTTGCGACAACTATGGTGCAGCAATGACATACCACTGTCCATTAAGAGTACATCGCCGCGGTCCGTAGTGTTTCACTTTACGATTGCGAGATCTGGCTAATCCGCATTGAGCACGCTAACACTTTTCATAGTCGCCCACTGATGTCTTCGAAGCATTGCTCGTATTTGGTAGGAGCAGTTGGTAAGCAATGACGATATGTGTCGTCGTGTTGAGTGCTGATAGTCGTTCAATAAAAGAAGGAATAGATCTACATCACCCCCTATGGCTTGGTTACGCTTTACGTATGCCTGTTCATCGTCTACCTCTCCATATTCCCTTTGCACGTTCTAGGTAAGGCTAGAAGAAACATCGCGGTCGTCAGACGATGATATAGCGTAGCAGTATAAAGAAGCTCTCTTCAGTCTATAGAGAGAGGTGTGAAAAACAAAATTGTTGTTACTCTCGTATGGTGGATTGAATTTTATTGTGCTACTCCAGTGCAATATATTTTAAACGAGTAAGGCGCCCGATTTATCATTATTAGCAATAAAATCACCGGGAACAAGAGAATCAAAAAACGTCTTATAAAAAAGAGCGAGAGATAATATTCAAAAATGGCTTTGCAACTGACCTGTACAATTCCACATTCACATAAATGTCCAATGGTTTGCAAAATGCCACGGTGGAATAAAAGAACCAGTAGCAATCCCGGAAAGAACAAGAGCACATTCATCTTGATGGATACACCCAAGCTATTAAAAAGAGAACATAGAATGTATTAGGAAAACGGTGCCCACGCAGTTGAAGGTGCGGGTGTTAGCGTACAGCTAAACGGTAAACGTTGAGGGGGGGTAGAAAACGAATCAGTTGAACTGTACTGCCTGTTGTTCTTAAAAGCCATTATACTGACAATCGCGACTTCAACAGAATCAGCTTTATGTAACTTTCCGGGAGTTTCACTGTTTCGTGTTACAATAAACCACAAGCACCAAACAGCATCGCTTTCTTTTAAAATCCTTAGGCTATCCGATATTTCACTTCCGAAAGCTGGTTTCATTCATCAGATAGATACGCTTTAAACAAATATCATGAAAAACAACATATTTGAATGGAATAAAAGTACTGAAGATATTCACGGCAAACAATAATTAGCACGATAATACCAATAACTCACCTCATGAAGATGGATGCTAAAGTAAACTTGCCATAAATCAATGCGTTGATGGACGCATAAACAGCTAGTATCGCAAAAGGATCATTGAAAAGCCGCAGGACATATATGGAATGAATTCGATACGAGATAATGCACATGAACGCCAGAGCATAAGGAGGTACCTAATAATGCTAATCTCTTCAATAATTTAACTAACCTTCACAGAGATTCGATATATATTGAAGACAAGAATTAAAGTTATTATGTACAAAAATGTAAAAACGTATTGGCCTAATCGAATGTTGGAACCGGCACCGGTTATTTTGTGCAAAAGTGAATATATGTACAAGAAACCAGCAGGGTACCTAAGAAGTATATTAAAAAAATGTACTGCAAACTTACACGCATGGACCAGTTTGGCCTTCTATTTGATCGTAATCTAGGGTTCCATTCAAGAAATGTTCAACTTCTTGCATATAAGCAACCCAATCGATTTCTGTGTCTGCATGTATATACACAAAACTGAGCATTTACATTTCACTTTTTCAATTATAGCAGGACAAAGAATAAGTTCCGCCACTATAAGAATGAATATGGTAGGAGAATATCCTTTCTTCGTGAAAATCAACGACTTTACATATTCCATTGCACGAGTCAACACCATGGTCATAAACCCACCCCCAAACAAAAGGCGCCGCGTCATCACATTTCACTAAGGTCACTCAGCTCAGTTCAGGTCACGTCACGTCACGTCAGGTTGCACAGGACTGATAGTGGGCACAGGCCAATCACGCTTTCCAGAATTCCTTCGGTGGTATGCCCTCGAGTGTGCGTCCACCTCTGCGATTGATCGGTTTCTCCTCCCATCTGCAAACAGAGAGAAAGAGAGACTTTACTTCTCGCCGTGTTGGCGAGAGACCTTTGTTGTTGAAGCATTCCACATTACGCAAAAGCAGTTTACGCACCTAACATTCTATGCCAGGGAAAAGTTCAGGACAGGACAGGACAGATCACAGGACTTGCAGAGGAGCCAGAAGCAGTCAAGTTTCTTGCACCAATGAGCTTGGGAGCACAACGACGCTGCGACAATCGTATTATTTCGTTCACGTGGTGGGTGCGGTTCTGGAAACGGAAAACACACTTCTGGTAGTTCCTCTGAGTGACAGTACACGTCTGAGGTTTTGTCAGGATAAAAGCAACAGCTCGCAACCAACCGCTCCGAGCTACCCAGAGTAAAAGGTGTGTTGGGAGAAGAAACATGACCTACAAGTGGTGGTGCTGGATGTTGGGAACTTTCAGTAAAATTTGGTGCACAGTGAATGAAAAATGGAGCTGAGGCAGTTGAAGAAATCAAAGAGTCAAAAGTGGGGGACACGGAGACGGACGAGCTATTAGCGACCTTAGGCCCGGTGTCAGATACAATCGGGGGAAAATGATCCCCAGTATGCGTCAAGCTTCAGCTTGAACTCAGCAATGGTTTTTGACGCCACTACCTCCTGCGGCAGTTTGTTCCACATATTAATTATCCGGTGCGAAAAAAAGTGGCTTTCAGGCGTTTCAGCGCCCGAGGCTTGTCTAACTTCACGCTGTGTCCCCTTCTGTTGGGCACACAGCTCGGCTGAATTAGGTAGGAGATTCCCTGAGAGAAACCCGTCAAGATACGGAAGGTTTCAATCGAGTCCCCCCTCAGCCTTCTCCGAGTGAGTGAGAACAGGTTCAGCCCCTGGAGGCGTTCGGCATATATCCCTTCCCGAAGGTACGGGAACATGCGCGTGAACATCCTCTGCACCCTTTCCAGAACCCTTTGGTCCTTCTTCAGAGTAGGGGGCCAAGCTTGTATGCAGTACTCAAAACGCGACCGAACGAAGGCCATGTAGAGCGAGACTAACCCGACAGGATCCATGGACGTCACTGTGCACTTCAACCTGAACAACGCTCTATTGGCCTTACGTGCAACAGCAAGACACTGGGCCGAGGAGTTGAAAACGGAGTTCAGAGCTATCCTTAGGTGCCTGATCTTTGTCACTATTGCCGTAGGCTCTCCGTCTCGGGCTCCCATGTAGTGTGACCCGGCTCCCTGAACACTTCCGGCTCGAAGAATTTTACACTTTGCTGGATTTAAAGGGAGACCCCACTCTGCAGACCATTCTTGCACTGCATCTAGAGCAAGCTGGAGGTCTACAGCCTGATGCGAGCCAAGGAGTTTGACTTCATCCGTAAAGATGAACGACGGGATTGATAGACGGGGGACTAGGTTATTGATGAAGACAAGAAACAGCAATGGTCCAAGGACCGAGCCTTGTGGGAACCTGCTGTATGCATGCCCGCAGTCCAACCAACCCCCTCCACCTTAACGCAACAGGTTTACCCTCTCAGGTAGCTCTTAGTCCACCTGACTAAACTAGAGGGGATCCTCATCGATCCTAGCCTAGCAGCAAACGATGGTTGACGGAGTCAAGGGCCTTACTGAAGTCCAGATAGCAGACTTCGACTCCCGCTCCCTGTCCAGACGTTCAGTCTCTACGTCCAGGAAGGCTAGCAGGTTTGTGAGGCACGAACGGCCTTTACGAAACCCGTGATGATGCCGCGGCAGCAGGCCGCATTTAGTAAGGTAGCTGACCATCTTATCCCTGATTAATTTTTCATGACTTTCAGGAATACGGAGAGTAAAGTCACGGGCTTGCAGTTAGTGACCAGCTCCCGGTCGCCCCTTTGTGGATGGGGGCCACAGTAGCTACTTTTCAGTCCTGTGACAAGGTGGCTGTCGCCATGGACTGATTGAAGAGGCGAGCTAATTGGGCTGCCAGGAGACGTCCTAGAGACCTAAGCAGTGACGGGTGGATTTCATCCGGACCCGACACTTTGCCCCTATCCAAACTGCCCAGGATCTTTTCCATCTCTTCTGGCAGGCAAATGATTTCCTCCATCAGCGTTGATCCTGCTGGTCGGTGAATGGGTCACAGAACGCCCTCATCCTCCGTGTGTACATTCTGTAAGTGCTCACACAAGGCGACGGCCTTATGGGAGTTTTCGTGGCGGGGGTGTCGTCCTTCTGTCTGATGCAGCCCACTGCTTCCTGTGTAGTCAACGTAGACTTAAAGTACCCATAGTAGGCCTTAGAAGGGCGCCTTGCTTTCTTGGCCAGCGAAAGCTTAAAACCCTTTTTGCCATCCAGGAGGATGCAATCGAAAGAATTTCGCTCTCGTAAGTACCGAGAGTGTCTAAGATAACCACCTGTTGCACAGAGTCATTGCCACGCGGCCCGCTTTCTAATTAGGGCTTTTTTCATTCGACTGGACCACCAGGGCAGGGTGGTCCTCGACTTAACGGGATACAGGGGTGCGAAACTATTGGTGAGATTCAGCAGGTTATCCCTGATCAAATCCCACGGCTCCACAATCCCGTAGTTTGCTTCTGACCAGACCATGGTTTGAGCCGCAGCCTGGAGACATTTGGCGTTCATGCGCCCATAGCGTCGCCTCAATTTGACTTGAGAAAGCGGAAGAGCACAGCGGTATTGGCACCGGATACTAGGCCAGGTCAGGTTGCACAGGACTGAATATAGCCATAGCAAATCGAGCGTCCAGAATTCCTTCGATGGTATACAAACTACGTGGGCATCCAGCTATGCTGAAATAATATTGAGAAACACGATCTTATCTCACCGAGTTGGCGAGTGGTCAGGTCAGGCCAGGTTGCACAGGACGGTAAAGGCTTTCGCCTATCGAGCGTCCAGATTCTTGCTCCAGTCGGAAACACGGTCTTCCGAGGCTTCGATTTCTTGTCGACCGTTAGACCGCAGCCGATTTCTTCGATTCGAACTGTCTCCGTTGGCGCGTCCGTACCTGCAAAGGGAGGTTATTCGAAAATGGGCAGTATAGACACCTACTGTCAGTAGCAGGTATCCTACATGATCTCTGGATACAGGCTCGTCCAGACTCCATCTAGCTGCCTTTTGAACCCGTCCACTGTCCTACAGTCTATTAGTGAAGATGGTAGCTAATTCCACTCACCTATCGCTCTACTCGTGAAGAAGTTATACCTAAGGTTGAGTCGGCTCCTGGGGTTCATTAACTTTAAATGATGCCCCCTGGTTGACTCGAGTGGTGCTCGGGTAAACAGGCTTTTGGCTTCTAGTACAGTCAGTCCCTTCATTATTTTAAAGTTTTCAGTCATGTCGCCTCTCAGACGTCTCCTCTCCATGAAGAAAAGCCCTAAGGATTTTAACCTCTCCTTATATGACTTATCCCTCATTCCCGCGATAATTCTAGTAGTTAACCGCTACACCCTCTCGAGGAAATTTATATCCTTCTTCAAGTAGGGAGACCAAGCCTGCACGCAGTATTCCAACTGCGGCCTAGCTATGGCCTTATATAGAGGTAGGAAAACCTCAGCCTTCCTTGACGAAAGGGCCGCCTTGAACTGGAACAATTGCCCCCTCGCTTTTTGTGCGGCGGCCAGGCATTGATCACTAGGCTTCAAGTCCTCGCGGACCAAAATTCCTAGATCCAGCAGTCGGTCTTATCGAGCGAAATCCGTCGGTTCCGTGGGCATAGCCACTCGAACCGGAAAACCTACGGTATTTAGAACATGACACTTGGCAGCGTTT